TAAAAATCCTGTTGCTTCCAATAAGAATCGGGCTAAAAAAATCCTTTTTATGCTATTTATATTTCCATTCATCATTTCTCTTTAGTTTCCTTATATAAATTTACTTCAATCTTATAAGGGAAATAGCCTAACCAAAAAACTTTGCTAAAAGTAATCAAGAAAAGGAATTCTGTCTGAGTTTAAGGACCACCGCCTTGGGGTGAGCCCTTGGACAGAAGCCCAAAGGATGAGAACAGAGCAGGTTCACCTCCTCTTTGCAGGGGGCACCCTCCCTCCCGAGTCGTCCTCAGTCACTTCCCAAAGAGCCTGGTGTCACTGAGGTAAGGGGCTCCTCCCTGCGACCTGTCAGGCACAGCCCAGCAGACGCTGACCACCAGAGCTTTCCAGCTCAGGCTCCCGAGAGCGTGCAGACGCCACCTCTCCCGGTAAACCCCGCACGCACGGAGGCAACATGGTGAAATGCTAGAATTCCTTGGCAAGGGGACCGAGGAAAACGGGGACAGACAGCTAAAGGGCAGGTGGCTGGGTTGTCTTCCCGAACCAAGGACACTCAGGAGCCAATGGCTCACACATTCAAGACAGTGCTGGGGCTGACCCACCTCTCTCCAGTCCCTCTTCAGGGACATCCTGTGAGGGGAAGCTGCCCAGAGAATGACCCTGACCCTACACGCTCATTTCGATGAACCAGCACATTAAGGGACACGCCTGGAGAGCTGGTGAGTGTTCTGATTGAGACCTCCCCTAGAAACAGACTCAACCCGCCAGGCAAGAGGCTCCGTGCCCGCCCTCCCCGCACCTCCCTTGCGTTCCTTCTCATAGCTCCACAGCAGTGGTTCTCAACCTGTGGGTCACGATCCCTCCGGGGGTTGAACAACCCTTTCACAGGGGTCGCCTAAGACCATCAGAAAACACGTATTTCCAATGGTCTTAGGAACTGAGACACCGCTCCTCTGTCCGTCTCCAGGCGGTCCGCCCACATGCAGATACGCCCACACACAACACGAGGACCTGCATTACAGGGTCGAGCATTAGGAATTAGGAAGGTGGAGAAACACTGCTCCAGAGGGTCCCAGGTCATACTTATCTTTTCCTCTATCTAACACACAGGGTGTCCCAAAAAATCGTATGCACATTTAGCACCATACATAGTTATTAGAATATTACCGACTATATTCCCCATGCTGTACTTTATAACCCTCCCCCCCATGCCTACACCATACCTACTGATCTGCACGTCTGAATCCCTTCACCTTTTTCACCCATCCTCCCAGCCCCCCTCACATCTGGCTACCATCAAACTGTTCTCTGTATCTATGAGTCTGTTTCTATTCACTATTGATAAATATGCATTTATTGCCATTTTGTTGTTCATATTTTTAAAAAATTTTTTCTCCTTCTCCTTAAAGAAGACCCTTTAACAATCCATGTAATACTTTCAGCTTTCCATTGTATTTTGCCGGTTTTTAATCTCTCTGGAAAATTTTCTGACCTTTTATTTCTGGCATTTCAATGTTTATTCCTGGCATTCTGAAGTTCTCAAGAACGTGCTGGGATTTGGATGTTATTGTGCTTGTCTGTTTTCCATTAGTGTGTGGGTAATTTAGTAGGCTCTTTGGAGAGTCGTAATGTGAAATTTTAAGTAATTTCTCTGATACACTTTTTCTTGTCTGGGAAACTCCTTATCTGACCTTCAGTTTTAAATGATAGCTTTGCTGGGTAGAGTAATCTTGGTAGTAGGTCCTTTCTTTTCATCACTTTGAATATTTCTTGCCACTCCTTTCTGACCTGCCAAGTTTCTGTTCAGAAATCAGCTGTCAGTCTTATGGGAGCTCTCTTGTAGGTAACTAACTACTTTTCTTTTGTTGCTTTTAAGATCCTTCTTTGTCTTTAACCTTTGGCATTTTAATTATGATGTGTCTTGGTGTGGGTCTCTTTGATTCATCTTGTTTGAGACTCTCTCGGCTTCTTGGACTTACATGTCTGTTTTTTCACAAGGTTAGGGAAGTTCTGACTTTTTTTCAAATAGTTTTTCAATTTCTTGCTCCCTTCCTTCTCCCTCTGGCACCTCCATAATGCGAATGTTGGTACACTTGATATTGTCCCAGAGGCTCCTTACACTATCTTTATATTTTCGGATTATTTTTTCTTTTTTGCTATTCTAACTGGGTGTTTTTTGTTTCCTCAAATTCCAAATCTATGATTTGGTCCCCAGTGTCCTTTATTCTACTGTTGATTCCCTGTGAATTATTCTTCATTTCTGTCAGTGTATCTTTTACTTCTGACTGGTCTTTTTTTTTTTTTTTAATCCTCACCCAAGGATATTTTTCCATTTATGTTCAGACAGTGGGAGGGAGGGAGGGAGAGGGACAGAGAGAGAGAGAGAAACATCTAGGTGAGAGAGATACATCGACTGGTTGCCTCCCACATGACCCCGACAAGGGCCAGTGACAGAACCACAACTGAAGTACTACCCTTGACTGGAATCGAACGACTCTTTAGTCCACAGGTCGAAGCTCCAACCACTGACCCAAACCAGCCAGGGCTTGATTGGTCCTTTCTTATGCTGCTGATGTTCTAAGTTCCTTGAAGTTCCCACTAAGTTCTTTGATGTTCTCACTAAGGTCCTTGAGCATCCTTATAACCATCGTTCTGAATTCTGTATCTGAGAGTTTGTTGCTTCCATTTCATTTAGATCTTTTTCTGGAGATTTCTCCTGTTCTTTCATATGTAAAATGTTTCTTTGTGTCTGCATTTTGGCTGCTTCCCTGTGTTTGTGTCCATGTATTAGGTAAGTCTGCTGTGTCTCCCAGACCTGGTAACGTGGCCTGTGTAGTAGGTTCCCGTAGGGCCCAGTGCTCCACCTCCCTAGTCACCTGAGCAGGGCACTTCAGGTGCACTCTTGTGTGGACTGTGGACACTGCCCTGTTGTAGTTGAGCCTTGACTGCAGATGGCGTCACTGGGCGAGACTGACCTCCAGGCCAACAGGCTGTGAGGACCAGCTGCAACTACAGCTGAAGAGCTGCTGTGTAGGAGCCGACCCTGTGCAGCAGGACTTGCTTCGCTGGGGCTTTGGTGCTCACCTTGTCCGCCCTTGAATGTGTGGCTCATGGAGGTGGTAGGGTTGTAATCTGGCGTGTGCTGAAGCTGACCACGGGGTGCACATGTTATGGGCCTCCCGGAAGGTGCACAGTCAGCCACTGCCTGTGCCCTGCCTGGGGCCAGCCGGCATGAGCTGCAGGGATCTGCAGATGCTGCTCCTGGTGCTGGGCTTGGAGGTGCCCAGGAGACACCAAGCGGTGAACCAAAGCTGGCAGCTGCCAGTGCCAGGCCTGGGGCCACTTAACGAGAGTTTGGGGACTCGCTGAGACCAGCTGCAACTTGTTTGAGAAATTTTAGGAAAGTCTGAAGCATGAGCCAACCATTCCTACGGAAAAGCCACTGCAGACAGCTTGGACGACATGCACGTTGGGGGACAGTGAGAGCCCGGCTGATGGAGACTCAGACCTGGCGCCTACCTGGGGCTCTGTGGGGGCTCAGCAGGGACGAGGGCCTCTGCCAGCACCGTTTCCTGGAAGAAATCTGCCCCGGCCCCGGCCCCAGCTCTTGCCCTGAGGCCAGAGAAGTTAGTTTCTCCCCGTAGGTCCCTGGTTCATTTCAAGCTGCTGCCCCCAAACCTGGAGCTCAGAGGGAGCGGGTCCGAGTAAATCCATGAGTGGGCCCTTGAGGAGGAACTGCCTGGGACTCCAGCACCCTCTGTGTCACCCAGACACGGGGACGTCTCTTCCCTGCACTGGAACCCTGGCTGAAAGGTCTGGTGGGGACTGGGACTGCTCGCTCCTCAGAGGGCCTCACAGCCAGGATGTCCCTCCCGACTGAAAACTGCCACATGTGGACGTGGGGCCGGCCCGTTCCGCCCCTCCGCCCGGTCTCGATGTGGCTTCTTCTTTAATCCCTTGGTTGTAGAATTTCCATTCAGCCAGATTTCAGGTGATTCTGAATGATGGTTGTTCTGCAGTTTAGTTGTAATTCTGATGTGGTTGTGGAAGGACGGGTACTGCTTTAACCTATGCTGCCTCTTGACCCCCACAAAGTTGACACCCACATTTTAAAATTAGTGTTTTATTTCTTAGCTCTCTGCTAGGCATCTGACCTTGTCTACAAGTGGTCTACAATCAAACAGAATGAGTGTTATTGGATCAGAGCCAGATTCAAGTACCAGCTCCCCCCATGTGTCCTGACAAGTCACATCACCGCTATGAGTCTAGATTTTCTCAAACAAAAAAGGCCAAGAAAGATTAAAGTTGAAGGTTTCAAACAAAAATGCAATGGCATGTCCCTGGCCGGTTTGGCTCAGAGGTTAGAGCGTCGTCCTGTGGTCCAGAGAGAACCGGGTTCGGTTCCCGCTAGGGGCTTGTACCTTGGTTGCAGTTTGTCTCCAGCCCTGGTTGGTCCTGCGGGTGGCAGCCACTTGATGTGTCCCTTTCACGTGGATGTTTCTCTCTCTCTTCCTCTCTCTACCTCCCACTCTATCTGAACAAAAACTGGAAAAATGTCCTTGGGTGAAGATAAAAAAAGAAAGAAAAAAAAATGCAATGGCATGATTATGTAGAAACTGCGGTTTCCCACTTCCCACTGGGCTGGAAGTACAGTGCGTCGCTGAGCCTGAAAGCTACATGTCTCAGGAGTCAGAGCTCTCCGTTCACAACCACCGTTTCTGATTCTCTCCACAACCTCACAGGTAGGTGCCATGAACACAGGAAACAAGCAGCTAGACTGGCTCACCCAGTACCACACAGCTCACAGATGCTGGGGACTGTACTGAGACCATATACAAAATCCTATTTTTTTCCTGCCACAAAAATTTCTATTATGTACTATTTACCAGGATTATTTTTACAGAAATCTAAACAGATATTAAAAACCCAATTCAATTTTTTGAAAGTAATGTCAATCCATCTCGCAACTCAGAACATCAGAGCAGAACAGGCTCGGTGCTCACCTGATGCAGCAGACGCTTCAGCCTGAGCAGCTGGGCTTTCACGGCAGTGCAGTCCTGGACCATGTGCCGCAGGGTCATCTCGTCCAGCACCACTGTGTTCTCAGGCACATCCACAAACACCTTCTGAGCCTGGAAAAAGGGGGTCCCTCCATAGCTCTCAAAATGACCCAAAGGAGAGTCTCTGTAGGGTGAGCCTCTGGAAGGGCAGAAGAAGTTGGGGGTAAAAGATATACAACACAATTTCAGAAAGAAATAAAGGTAACAGAATTATTCCAATGATTATTACAATTGATTTCTCATTATCACAAAGCCTCTGACATTTACTCACCTCAGACCCTAAATCTGTTCCCACTGAAAAGTCCAATCAGTTCTCGTTGTCGTCAACACAGTACCTTCTGCGCTCTCCCCTTTTGTGTATTTTACATGTAGGTTGAATAAACCTTGTTCCTGAGGAACTTGACTAGAAACAAAATACTCTGGGGAAAGGCCTTGCTTGAAAAAAAATGTACTTATGTTTCTTTTTCCTGCGCTGATTCACTACTTTCTACCTTTTGACTGCAACTGGCCTCCTGCACAGCACTGTCCTCAGCCCCTGACTACGGACACACTGCTGGACGCCCTGTTCTTGAAAGTCTCAGCAGACAGTTGAAGACAGAGGAACTCTTACTTCTTTTGTTTTTACATTATTGATAAATCATCTTTTCCAATAAAGATTAAATAAGATTTTATAAATCTTGTTTCATAATCTTAAAATACATTTTTAAACATCTCCTGTAAAAACCCTTAAAATTCCCTTAGTTTCATACAATATAAATTCTGAATAATTTAAAACTTTTTTGTTTGAACATTTAACATTAGGGATAATGTGTTTCATGGATGTGAAAAAACAATGTTTCAATCAGAAGTCATAGCTACAGCAACTTAAAAAGTGCTGCATCCACATTACACATCATTCCAATTGGTTCTAAAGTTAAGACGAAAAATGTTCTCTCCAATACAGTGGCTGTTTTATCAGGATTAAACTTAAATTCAATATGCATTACATCTGCAAAAGTCATAATGCATTACATTTCAACCATATTGAAAACGTAGATGTATGATTTCTGCTAAATCTTCTAGCTTTGAACAAATGTTCCCAATTTCCAAATCTCTAAATTCTCAAATATTCAATATGAATTTTGTTTTCACAATATTATTTTTCTCTGAAATTAGTTCAGGCCTGAATTTTATTTTCATCCCCCCAAAAGGTTTTTAAGAATTTTCTAATTGTTGATCCATAGATAAGACCTTAATTTGTTGACATAAAATTCTACTTTTTTTTTAATCCTCCCCTGAGGATATTTTTCTATTTCTCTTCAGATAGGGTGGGAGGGTGGGAAGGAGAGAGAGGAAGGGAGGGAGAGAAACATTGACGTGAAAGGAACACATTGACTGGTTGCCTCTCACATGACCCCAACCAGGGCCAGGGATGAACCACAACCGATGTACGTGCCCTTGGCCAGAATCGAACTCACAACTCATTGGTTCACGGGCCGACACTCTACAGCTGAGCCACACCGGCCAGGGCCAATTCTACTTTATTTTTATTGGTTTAAAATATAATCGAATTATTAAATTTCAAATACTGATCAATTAATTGGTACACATTTACTATCCATGACTGAATACATGGGCAATCTACACAGAGAGTGATGAAAAACATACAGTAATAAAAGATAACAATAAGACAAAAATATAGAATCACCTGGCAATGGATAGCAGAGATAATGAACTACGTTTTCTGCGAACAAGTTAACGTTCTTTGGGAAATTTTCTTGGGTAGCAAAGAACTTGGGATGAACTATAAAGTATGAGGTTTTAGTTTGACTGACATGAAAAGCAAAGGCTTTCGAGAGAAAGAAAGTGAAAAGTAATGGCATGAAGTGCAAGTCATGATTTTCAGGGACAAGACGACACTTAAATATGGTTTATGAGGCCACAGAAGCCTGAATCCAATTTATTTTTCAGCTTTTACCCCTCAACACGCCTGCCTCCCTCAGACTGCCTTCCTAACATGGAGCCGATGACCCGAGACTGCCGAAGCTCAGTCTCCTCAGCTCCGGCCATGTCCTCCGTCTCTATTCTGGACGGCCGCCCATCCTGCCCTCTACACACGGGATCCAGAGAACAGTAAGTGTAATCTGGTGAGAAACTGGCACCGTGCCCTGCGGAGCGGCTGCAGGCTTCCACTCCCCCAGCGAGCGAGAGCCCCCGTGCCTCAGGTCCTCGTGGGAACCGGGCCTGCTCTGGACCGTCACTGTTCCGACAGGTGCGCACTGTTTCCATCGAAAGCCCCTCGTGATCTATACGTTGAGCAATGCTTGTACATATGCTTATCTGTACATCTTCGTTAGTGAGACGTCTAGATCTTTTGCTCATTTTCCTTTTTTATTAATCCTCACCTGAGGATATATTTTTTCCCATTACTTTTTAGAGAAAGTGGAAGTGGGGCAGGGAGAGAGACAGAGACATTGATGTGAGACACATCGGCTGGTTGCCTCCTGCAGGTGCCAGCAGGGCTGGGAATCGAACCCTTGGCCCTTTGGTGCGCAGGCTGATGCTCTGCCCATGGAGCAGCAGCAGCCAGGGCCTTTGGCTCCTTTTTAAATTAGATTGTTTGTCTTCTTGTTCAATTTTAAGAGCTCTTTGAATATTTCAGATACCAGTCCTTTATCAGATACATATTTTACAAATATTTTCTTCCAGTCTGTGCCTTCCTTTCATTCTCTTAACGTTGTTTTTCACAGAGCAGACTTTTAAAATTTTATGCAGTCCAACTTGTCAATTTTTTCTTTCTTCAATTGTACTTTTTGTATTGTATCTAAAAATTCACTGCCAAACCCAAGGTCACTTGGATTTTCTCCCTTGGTATCCTGTAGTTTTGCATTTTATGTTTAGGTCTTTGATCTTAGTCAATCTCTGTGAAAGGTATATGGATGTGGATGTCCAGTTATTCTAGTACCATATGTTGAAAAAACTGCCCTCTCTCCTTTGAATTGTCTTTGCTCTTTGGCAAGGGTCAGCTGGCTGTGTGTGGGGTATTTCTGGACTCTGTCCTGGTGCACTGCTGTCTGTCTGCATCACTGACGCTGCCCACAGCCTGGACGTCAGAGCCAGTCTGCATCCCGACTGCTCTTCAACATTGTGCTGGGTGTCCTGGGTCCTCTGCCTGTTCATACGAACTTTAGAATCACTAAAGTTGATGTCCACAAGATAACTTGCTGGGATTTTGACTGACATTGTGTTGAATCAAGACTTTAAAAAAATATAACCATGAACATAAAAATACACACACACTTAACTTTTAATATACAACTGTTATTAATGATGAGAAAAGAAACCCCAAAGGTTGTGTGAAGTCAAATTGTGACTCAAATTAGAAAATAAATGAAGAAGAAAAAATCTCTGACTCTCCCTCTCTCTCTCTCTCACACACACACCCTCCTCTTGCCAATCTAACCTATGAGTCACGAACCTTAAACACAAAATCACACATGTTGGTAGTCAAGAAGCTTGTGGAGAAGTATGAGCACAGTCACATGATTTGGGGAGATTCCTACAGTAAGTAATTGTGCAGCAATTTGATTATTAGATGTGGGTTGACTATCAGATGCTGCTGTGTCTATGATTCAAGTTTAATGGTTAAAAAAAAAGGCTGATATCTTAACGATTTATTTCTGTAGTTATTCTTGTTGATTTTACTGGCTGTACTTATAAAACAATGTTAACTGATGCTGGTGGTTGTGGGCACTCCTTTCTCATGCACCTATAAACACTGAACCCTGTCTGCCTTTATTGGTTAAGTTCTTCATACCTACTAGCCGACCTGCCTGTGATGGACCACAGGCCACAAAGGCACATTGAGGCCTTTGCTAAGGCTGCGGACTTCCCAGTATATTCTCCAAAGCAGCTTGCAGTGTCCTGTTGCTTTCACTATGTCATTTCTCTACTAGAAATCCATGATTGTTAAAATTTGTATAAATTTGTGCCTGTCATCTTTTCTTTTATCCTCACTAATGATATGTGTATTGATTCTTTAGAGAGAAAGGAAGGGAGAGGGAGACCAAGACAGAAAAAGAGAAACATTGATTGGCTGCCTCCTGTGCATGCCCCAACCAGGGATCAAGCCTACAACCTAGGTTATGTGCCTTAACCAGGACTGAACCCACACCATTCTGGTGTGTGGGACGATGCTCCAATCATCTGAGCCACCGGCCAGGGCTGTGCCTATCCCCTCCCTGCAAGGTGTTGTATCTGGTAGCCCTCTTCTGTCTTAGGCTGTTTGTTCCACCTTCTTCACGTCTTCATCCCTAGGTTTGTGCTTGTGCTCTTGGAAAGTGGTTTTACCTACCATTCTAATTCAAAGGTTCAGGTCTCATGTGTAAGCATCATAGTCTCAGAATGGAAAATGTCAAAACCTTTCTGTCCGGCTTTCCCCCCGTTTCAGTAGTGCCATTTTCCTTTCTGAAAATAACATGCTATATATTTGCTATCTTTGTCTTCTGCTTCTTGCTTTCTCAATTACACTCATTTTTTAAAAAAATAGGTTTTTATTTATTTATTTATTTATTTATTTTTGTATTTATCTTCAGGTAGAGAGAAAGAAACATCGATGTGAGAGACACACATCAACTGGTTGCCTCCTGCTTAATCCTAGGACTGGGGACGAACTGCAACCGAGGTACATGCCCTTGATTGGAATCGAACCCGGGACTCATTGGTCTACGAGCCGATGCTCTACCACTGAGCCAAACCAGCCAGGGCTACACTAATTTTTAAAAAAAATCAGATTTCAAATGTCCTCCAATGAGATGTTATTTACAACTTACTGTCGGATGGCTGAGCAACAGATACACAGATAGAGAGAGAACGTTTCAACATTTACCACTTGGATATAGAGCTGAAGGGTATATGACATTATAGTATTCCTTTGACATTTATGCTAGAAAAAATTTCAATATAAAGAAGTTGGAAATTATTGATAATAATAATACAATAATATTTGGTTTTTATTTAACATATACTATATACCAGGCATTGTTCTAAGCACCTTAACATGTTATTCCATTTAATCCTTAACCAATCTTATGAAGTGAGTGCTAGTATTATCCTCATTTTACAGATCAGGAAAATGAAGCATAGATAACTAACTTGCCC